TCCTCCCCTCTATGTCCTGTGTCCCCGCCATCAGGACAGCATGCTGCCACTTGTCTAAATGCTTCTTCGTACTCTGATTGGCTGTTTGTCAGCCAATCAAAGCGTGGGTAAAGCATTATGGACAGACAGACACACAGACAGACAGATTAAGGCTTTTATAATATTAGAATTTTTGTGACTGATGGACTGCAGGGAGTTCCTGGAAGTCAACCAAAAAGGTAGTGTGTTTATCTCCTGCCTGTGAAGCCTTAACAGCAGGAGCCCTTAATGAACCCAGGGAGCTATGGTGGGGGTGTAGGGGACCCCCGTTATAGGCCTATAAGGACTCGGTCTGGGACACAGGTGATTATTTTGGGCTAGTAGAAAGAAAGCCATGATGGCAGAAGCTTGTTTTCTTCCCCCCAATAGAATTATACCTTAATACCATCAAGTCATGGTGGGCAAGCATCCCAAGAAGGTAGCGTACTCTCTAACAGGGTATGCGGCACTGGTCAAGCCATGAAAAAGGGGCCCAACTACAACGTTCAACAAGGACAAGTGCAAAGCCCTGCACTTAGGACAGAACACTCCCATGCACTGGTAAAGCCTGGGGGCTGACGAGCTAGGCAGCAACTCTGCAGAAAGGGACCTAGGGGTTACAGTGGGCAATAAGCTGAACGTAAGCAAACAGTGTGCCCTTATTGCAAGAAGGCTAACGGCATACTGGGCTGAATTGGTAGAAGTATTGCCAGCAAGTCAAGGAAAGTGATTATTCCCCTCTGTCCAGTACTGGTAAGGCCACATCTGGCCTCTCCACTACAGAAAGGATGTGGACAAATTGGAGAGAGTCCAGCACAGGGTGATAAAAATGGTGAGGGGGCTGGGGCACGTGACTTCTGAGGAGAGGCTGAGGGAATTTGGTTTATTTAGTTTGGAGAAGAGAAGACTGAGAGGGGATTTAATAGCAGCCTTCAACTACCTGAAGGGAGGTTCAAAAGAGGATGAAGCTAAACTGTTCTCAGTGGTGGCAGATGACAGAACAAGGAGCAAGGGTTTCAAATTGCAGCAAGGGAAGGTTAGGTTAGATATTAGGAATAATTTTCTCACTAGGAGGGTAGTAAAACACTGGAACAGGTTACCCAGAGAGGTTGTGGAATCTCCATCCTTGGAGGTTTTCAAGACCTGGATAGACAAAGCTTTGGCTGGCACGATCTAGTTGGGGATGGTCCTGCTTTGAGCAGGGGGTTGGAGTAGATGCCTTCCTGAGGTCTCTTCCAGCCCTAACTTTCTATGATGTTTCCTGATACAGAATCCAAGGGTCTCTTTGCAGGCACTGATGATGATGGACTTGAAAGCACCCGAAGCACTGCTGACATTCTCCCATTGTTGTTGATTGGAATTCACCAGTTTTTCATTGCAGCACTGGTGGAAGAAGTCTTGCTTGAGTGGGTCCTTGAGTCCTTAAATATTGATCTTCTGTCAGCATTGCTTCTGATGCAGTCATCATTTGGGAGCCAGTTTGAATGACATAACCGAGTGCACAAATTAGTTATCAGTCCAGCAATTGTCAGCTTCTAGCATAGTTCAGGTGATGTGGACATCTTTGCAATCTTTGGTTTCATCGGTGGCATCAAGAGTCAGGGCATATGTGCTGATGACAGTGGAATATTGGCTCCCTGCTAATTTCATATGGAAAGTCATGGGGTGCTCATTAATTCTGAAAAGAAACTCAATGAGTTGGCTCATTCTTGATGGCAAAAAAAAATAGCTCAGTGAATCAGCATTCTCCTTCCCGTCTAACCTTACAGAAGAAGATATAGCCACCTCCTTGTTCTTTGAGGTGCCCATCTCCCACTTACCGGATCTTGCTCAGTACAGCGACATCAGTGTTGTGTCACCTGAGTTCCTGAGACATGACTGCGATGTGATACTCTGGACATTCGCTATTAGGATTGTCCATGAGGGTCCTGATGTTCCAGCTCCTGAAATTTATTGGTCTGTTGATTTTGACCACAGTAAAGGTGATCCCACTGGACATGGTTATCTAGTTAGGAAACTGACCCACATACTTCACACAGTGCAAATTGTGGTATACTGACTGCAGTGCACATCATTAGTACATGCACGGCATATGGCAATTGCTCCAGTTGTTCCAGGACTGTGCCACATGCAGTGCACACTCTGGGTAGTCCAAGACCTGTGCTGCATGTGGTGTCTGCACTGGTCTGTCTGGGACTGCTATACATGGCACCCGCTGCAGCAGATCTGGGACCTGCGCCATGTGCAGCATGGGTCCTGGATCAGTCAGAGCAGGAACCATGTGCACTGGATCCAGGATGTAAAGGGTGAACTGAGGGAGGGTGGGAACAGCCATTCTGTAGGCCCAGGCCAGCCCATGGGGCCAGCCCCATACCATTCATCCAGCCCATGGACTGGTCCTGGACCATTCATCCTTCTGTGGGGCAGGATGCATTTGACACCCTTGACCTAAGGGAATTAGTGAAGACAGCTGGAGTGAGCAGCTAAAGAGCTTGACTGTGGAAGAAGCCTGTGATTTCTTAAAGTCACAGGTGCTAAATTTATCAGGAATTAGTTTCCCAGACAAAGGTGAAACCTTACAGGAAATGGATCCAGACTTAAATGGATGAGTTCTGACCTAAACACACCTCTATAGTGTACAGTATTGTCATTCTGGAGTTTTGTTTCCTTTGGATAGTAAAAAAATAAATTTTAATGTCTGAACTTAAAAATGGAAATATAAGAATATGAACAATGCTATGACCATATTTTTTCCCAAAAAAATCATTTTGCATATTTAAGGAATTGTGATAGTATCTTTTTAATGGTTTTATCATGTTCAAAATGTATTAGTCTAATATGCAATTTTGTAAGCTCTGGAAAGCATGGTATCTATCAAAATATTTTAAAAATGTGTGATGCCAAATCAAAAATCTAGTTCATAAGTAAACAAATGGGATACAGTCAAATGGCAAATATCTAATCTATTTCAACCTTGTCTAAACCACATGAGATTGCTGACAGCCTTTGGTCTATGGTTGAGGAATGATGGAAAAGAGTAAACTGATGTTTTCATTCATAGGCTACCTTTTAGTTTAAAAATTCAAAAAGAATACTAATATGTTGCAGTTAGTTAATAACATTATCTGATTTCTTTGTCATGGAAATGTAGATGCAGTGAGAAGATAAAAGTCCCTGATCCATTAATGACTCATTTCAATGCTTATTCTCAGCCCAAGCAAACCCCATCAAAACTCTACAATGCATACTGAAAAATATGCAAACAACAAAAACCTTGATTTAAAAGGGGAAAAAAACCCAAGAGATGATCACTTTTAGCATTGTTAAAATGCTGCATTACAGCTCAGTATTTCAGAAATTTATGAAGCATTAGTTTCAAAATCTAATAAACTTCTCCTGTCCAAAAAGAAGCTCTGCTACATGCCAGGAGATTAAAACAAATTATACAAGAAGACTGAACAATTATACAGTGGAGAAGAAATATTAGACTGTCAAACTAGCAGTTAAATTTCTAACTACTGCTAGAGGCAAGTATTTCATAGACTCTACCTAACTCTATTAACTCTATTATCTAACTCTATTAAAGTCTAACTCTATCCCAACTATGTAGTTGGTCCAATAAAAGATACTGCCCTAAGAAATCCTTGCCTCTCATGGAATTCCTAGACCCTTACAGCTACAACATCATTCCTAACACTTCCTTAGCTACTGGTAGAAACACTGTGCACAGCTAAATCAGCTCTTTCTGTTTTGCACAACTGTAAGGCTCCACAGGAAACTTAAGTGGACTTGCTCAACATGACTATCAAACAGTGACAAGCTATGAGTAAATATTGACCGGAATTGGCTTTTAAGTTTTTTATGTTAAAGCACATATCATAAAAGACGGGACTGGGGGCTGACGCTTCGCTTTAGTGTGGATGGTGCTAGGATGCTGTGGGCACATATTTGGATTTCTTGGTTTTCAGAACTCTGGGACTGAAATCAACATTTTGGAAACTGCAAGAGAGCTCATAGCAACATTAGTTTGTATTAATAAAAGTTGTCATCAATATTTCAAGTTTTTTAAAAATAAAGAAAATGTTTTGGGGTAGCCGTACATGATGATTTACACAGTTGTGGATGTTTTTCTTACAGTTGAGATGCTGCTGTGGCTAGATAAAGACTAGAGAGAGATAGTTAGCTGTTGTTAGTCTGAAGGCAGGCAGAAGGCAGGGTAGATTTGCACCTTATAGATGAACCAAATCAGAGATGCATAGCATTGGTTTTGTAAGCTAAGGGCCCCCAAGTTTTGCTTGCCCTCAGCCACATGGCCACAGGAGCAATCTATGGAGGAGTCTCCCCTTTTCATAAAGTGGCCAAGACCTTGCCACTCCAGCCACTAAGTGGGAGGTTTACTATACATTACTTTCGCAGGTATTAACCCCAGGTGCAACTAGGAAGACCGCCTCAGTGGTCACAGTGTTTCCCTTGCCGGGTAAGCATAGACGCTACACTTGATCTGAGCCCACAAGAGGCTGAGAAGGGGTTATAAAAGCTAATCCAGGAAATGGGATAAGAATCCATAATCTCAATTTAGGCCAAGGGGTTGTCTCAGAGCAACCACTCCAAGGTCAGTGACTCAATGTCCAAGGAGGTTAAAGTGTTCTACCACAGCCCTGTGTGCCCTTCTAGAATTTATGTCAGATCAGTGTTCATTCGTTCTTATACATAGGAGTCACCCTGTCTGTCCAATATAGACAGCAGAGTGGCTAAAGCAGAGGAGATAAAGAGTGCCATATGACTGCTATGGTTCCCCCTTCCAGTGCAATTTGTTAGAGTGGAATGGTAATTATGGCTGTGCTTTGAAATGTCTGCAGGATGTAGCAGCTGGCATGGTCAGTAAGGCAAATTCCAGTCCCAAATTCTTGTTTATTCTGAGGTAGCTATGGTAACTTCAGGCATCTGTAGGCTGCTTCTCCCTTTCTCTGCCCCCTGCCATCGTTTCCATCTCAGTGTTCTCTTCCCATCCCATTTCAGCTGTCAACATACAAAATCTTTCTCCTTGCTATCTGGTGCCCTCTGCTGCACTGATATTGCATGCAGCAACAGCTTACTGGAGGGTTGCACATACCAGCTTTTAGCCAAAGCTGTACCACCAACCTGGCTCCATGGCCCCACTGCATTCTTTCCTGCTGGACTTCTTGTCCCACCTTTGCTTGACCTCCCCAGCCATACCCCTCACTCACCAGTCAGGCCTCCCCCCACTTTCATGTCAGTCTTTCCCCACATACTGCAAGCAGGCTGTTGTGCACTTTTACTATGTATTTCCTAGTTTTCAGAGGTTTTAATATTCACCTGCCTTCAGACCTGCCTTCTACATTCTGGCTTTTGGGAGGAGGACCAGGGAGAAGGGTTCAGGCCACTCTAGGTATGTCTATAATGTTTCCCCAGCACTCCCACGGAGGCTGCTCTCACAGATACCCTGCCTGCCTACTCCTGCTCCTTCTCACGTATACCAAGCCCATTCACATGAGGCAGGGGAGATGCTCTTGAGGCCCACCCATATCTGAGCTCAAGCATGCCAGGGACAGAGACCTTGGCTAGGTACAGAAATTCAAAAAGCCTGAAGCAAAATTGATCAAACCTTCGCAGGTCTCTCTAAGCCGTATAGATTTGATCAGGAGCGAACAGAACACATGTTCACCCTTTGGGAGGGGGATCGGGGTGCACACAGATGCCTGCATTGGCAGAGACCAGAAGGCAGGGAGTACTCCCACACACCTTGCAGTTTGCCAGCCAAGTGGGCTACCAGGTGTGGCATGGTGGCCCTCTCTGGGGCTGTCCTGAAAGACTACGGCTGGATGTGGGGGACGGTCCACAGTGTGTTGGCAGCCAACGAGGAGTGGTCCAGGCGTTCCAAAGAAGGAAGGATCAGGCCCCTCAGAGCATGGCATGAGTGGCAGCCGAGGGGCCCGATCCATCCTTCTACAGAGCCCCCCTGTCCCTGCTGCCCAGTGCAGATCTCCTTCCCCGCTTCCCCCACCCTGCCTCCATCTGTCCTGGCTCCAGTCTGTGACAGCCTGGAGCAGCCAAGCAACAGCTAGTGCTAGTGCATCTCCCCATGAGAAGGGACCAGTGGCGAGAGACACAAAGGGGCCTCAGATGCTGGGGGACAGCAATTTAATGTGAATCAATAGGGAATCTGGTATAGAAGTTCAATAGACCGGTCTATCCTAAACTGATTAAGTTTGATACCTCATCAACCCAAGTCTATTTTAGACTGGGGTCCACCATTTTTAAACCAGTTTATGTGCCCCAAACTTCTGTTCTGTTATGAGGATAGACCAGTTTTCAGTCACTTAAATAGTTATATGTGTAATGTCTGTACCTGGCCCTTGAAAGCAGCCAGCGGAGGGGTGCCCCCAGAAAAACTTCCCTGCCACATTTAGTTTGGCATGTGTAGGAAATAGGCTTATGCAGGAGAAGGCGACTGTGAGGCTTATAGTCACCTCCACCTCAAACCAACATTTATACCTGACACCTGCCCCCCACAATCATGCCTTTGCTTGTCTGAACTCAAGTCTGTTTCACTTCCCCATCCCAAATCCCCACACTCCTCTACTTCTATAGGTCTCCCTTCCTTCACAACAAGCACTCATATGAGTTTTTCAAAATTATTCCTTCTGAATGTTCTGTCCTGCTCAAACTCCATTTTGCTTCCGCCTCCTCTAAGTAGGTCCCGGAAGAGGGGGATTTTACCCTGGCACCTTAATTTTTCACATGTCCTCCATCAGTCAGATTTGAACAGACACTGCCTAGCAGTTTACCCAAGCTCACTAGCTACTGCATTGCCTTGAGCTACCAAGGTCAAGAGCCACCTTAGCCAATGTGTCCAAACATGTGCAGTGTATTCTGTTCGACTCCTGAGTGTTGGGCTTTTAGCTGCCTTAAGAACAAAACATTCTTTGGTTGAATAACTGTTTTCAGTTTTGCATCTGTGAAGGGATAGTGGTGCCTTCACAATGCAGAAGAGGTGTGGGAGTGGATATTAAAGACACTCTGGGGCCCAGCAAGATCCGTAACTTTGTTTCAGAGGGCCACACACCACAAAAACGGTAGACTCTGTAAGCCTTAAGAGCTAGAAGTCTTCCCCCTGAGGAGCTGTAGAGAAAATGAACCCAGGCATATACCTCTTAATTTCACAGAATGACCCTGAGACAGGAGACTGTACCGTCAGGACCATGTTAAAAAAAAGGTCCCTCCTCTTATTGGAGGTTCATTGTAATGTGTAATTGTCTTTCTCCAGGACTGAATTGGAATGTAATCCTAAATTAGTCTATCAGGCCCCACGTGTACCATTTCCCCCACATCCTAGCCAGGTCTCCATCACTCTTTCCTGCTGGAGATGATCTCCTCTGTAGAGATATGCATTCGAGCAAGAATATGAAGCTGAATCTTTCACATCCAGCAAGGAGTTTGCTGTTCTGAGATGCTCCTATTCCCTCTTTCTATTTCTCTTTGTGGCCTTAAAAGCAATTCCAACCTACAGCTGAAAAAGCTCTTTCCTTTGGATGTGTTTTTTTAAATGGGTACCAAACCACTCAAAGATGTACCTTTCAGGAATTGGAATTCTCCAATTAAACATTTACCATATTTGAAACCATCTCTAATTTTACACCCTGTGCTAAAAAGTCCAGGTTCCTGCTGAGGGCTATAATACCTGTATTTTTGACAGCTGTGGATTATCACGTTTGGTTTACTCTTTCCTTATATGTGATGACTTTGTACAGTCTTTAACATTTGAAAAGCAGAGCAACAGCAACTTTTTTTCAGAAAATAAACCTTTATCAACAGTTTTGTTCTACATCTACTCTTAAATTATAGATTTTACATTATACATTGTCACCCAGGTAATTCCGGAATTGAAGGGGACTGTTAGCTGGCAGGTGTGCTGTGGGGGAACTACACACCACTCAGTTTCCCTCTGTCCCTATAGAGCCAGGCCAGGACAGTCAGGGGACTTAACTATATACACATTTATTTACATTAAATTGTCACAAGGGAAAGGAACATGGATATAAACATACGTACAATATATATATTTATAGGATATCTAAACAAATAACATAAACAATACCCTCTGAGTAAATGCTATAAAACCTTACACCAGTGTTCCAGATACAGGTAAATATCTGATTTGAAACAGATAAACCCCAAAATAAAGATAGATAGCCAACGGATAAACTATATATAAGTATAGGTGAACAATAAATAAGCCACAAATAAATAACAGGTGAAATAATAGCAACAGGGGGTCCCAGCAGAGCCCTAGGACTCTACTCCTACCCCTCCCCTATGGGAATCCTCTTTTCCCTGCAGCTCACTCTCAGGCCTGGAGGGTGGCCCTCGTCCTCTGCACCAAGCTGCTCTCTCACCTGCGGTGGGCTTCGAGGGCAGTCACTGTTCCCTGGAACCGGGCTCTGCTATGCAGCGTTTCTGGGGCCTCTGGCTTGGCCCTGTCTGCTGGCTCAATAGCCTGAACACCATCTGGCTTCCTGGACTCAACCTTTTGCTGTGGGTTAGAGGCCTCGGCTGCCTCGTGCAGCACCAGGCTCAGCCTGCTCCCTGACCCTCTGTGCAGCGCCTCTTCCACCGAGCTCCCAGCCTTATCCTGGGGGTTGAGGACCTGAGCCACCCAAGCGCTCCAAAGGTCCTACACCGTGCACCAGCCTGTGCACTGTGTCTCTGGCTGCACACCAGAGGTTGGAGACCTGAGCTGCCTCATGCAGCTCCCAGGGGCTGGACACCATGCTGCACACCAAGAGCCTAGCTGCTAGAGAGCTGTCTTCTATTCCCCGCCAATGGAAGTCTTTAGGGGCGCTTCTAGGCTACTGCTTCGGCCCTGCTGAGCAGCTCTCCTCAGCTCTTCTAAGCCCCGCTCTTCTCTTTTCTGTGTCCTAGACGTGCTCTCCTTATGCTGGGCACACAGCTCCTTTTATATGCTCCAGAGCTCTGCCCCTGAAGTCTTCCAGACCTGAGTGTTGCTGCCTTCAATCAGGTGGGAGGGTGGGGAGCTCCTCTCCCCCTCCCCTCAGGAAAGGGGTGTGATTTAACTCCTTTTGCTCCCTCCTGATTGGTGGTTGGGCTCCACCAATCAAAACAGCAAGATTTCAAGCCTGGGACTTAACCCAAGCTCCAAAAGGGAAGCCTGCTACATGTTATGAATTTGCTTTTTCTCTCTCCCTCCTTGGCCCTACAATGAGTCTATGCAGAAACAGTAAGCCAGGCTGCTAGGAGAACAGACACCATGTTCTTCTAATTATACCCCAGTGCTGCAGAGGAAAGTGAAAAACACCCAGAAGCTTGTACCAAATGCAACTAGTGACTGGCAAAACCCCTGAGAAATGGGATTACAAATAACATCCACACTACAAAAGCTACTTTTGGATCACAACTGAGGGACTGCAAACTCATGGACCCCATTCCTTGCTCCACCACTTTACTTGGTAAGCTTGGCAGAAGAGCCCTTCCAATTCTCTGCCCATTAAGGACTTACCAAGCAGCTTCTCTGGTTAGATGGATAGCTCAAACTAATTCAAGAGTCATTCTGATCAATTAATGAAGATGCACTGCTAGAGGTTTTCTCTGTAGCTGTCTGGCTGCCTATGAGGCTGTAGATGGTGTGATTGATTAAGAAGGTGCTCTCATTCTTTGTATTGTTTGGAGCTATCACTACCCAATGGAAGAAAAGGTAGCAAATGATTATAGATGTGCATATTTTGACATGTAAATCTACTAAACAGTATGTTCATACTGATGGGCTGCTTGACTATTCTTGAGGAAAAGTTGAATATCTAAATGGTTACAGCAGCCATTTGGGTTGTGGGAGACCTGGTTTCCAGCCCTTTTATTGCCAGGGAGATGAACACACACTGCCTGCTGGTACACACCTCTGTGCAGAGTGGGCTAGCTTCAGTCTTTGACAGGAGCCAACTGCAAAATAGCATATGTCCTACTGACTGGAGCGTTCTCCTCAGAGGAGGGAAATGTGAGTTTGAATCTCCGCAGGCACAGGAGGGTTTTTGACCTGGATCTTACCCCTCCCAGGTAAATATTCTAACTATACTAATGGAAAAAGGAGAACCTCCCTGACTTGACAAAACAGCATGTCCCTATAAGCTGGAGTATGGACAATGGGGATATGAGTTGGAGCAAAATAACCTGTTAAGATCCAAATGTCTACTGAGCATGGATATACCACCTTTTTCTGAAAGGACCAATTTGGTCAGCTTGGCCACACTTACGGAGCTTTTCCTGGGGACAGAAAATGGCATCTCCCAAAGAAGGCACCACCCTCAGCCAAATCTCAAAGCTCTGCTCCAATGTAGTAGAGGACTTTTGAGATTTTCTAAGACACAAAGGACAGAATATTTTAAGAAGGAAAAAAATAATCTTTCTATAGCCTCTTGCTTGGATGCAGCCGAATATTTTTGGTCATAACTTTACAACCCCATTTGAGTTGAAGTAGATGGTCAGTGTGAAAAACTTTAACCCAAAGAGGCCAATGTTAACAAAGGTATAAGCCAAGGAAAGAAGGTCTCAGACCGCATCATACTGAGCAATTTCAGACATGATGGGGAAGTTCCAGTCCTGGGGCTGCTTCTCGATTTGGGGGAGGTCTCTGAGCTCCCATGAGAAAGATGAGCAATAACACTGACATGAAAGCCATCTGCACCTTGTGGGGCAAGGGAGAGATTTGTGTAGGTTAGATCTGCAAGACTGCCAAAGGCACTGCAAAGAATGATTGAAAATTGTTAGTTTATTAAAAATTGAATTATTGCAGATTTGTTACTGATTAAAATGCATTGTGTTTTTACTTGGAAAGCTGTGATGTGAGGATTGTATGTCTCTAAGAGGTAGGTGGAGTTGGAGAGCGCTGCAGGGACAGCCTGATACCTGTGTGCGTATGCTGTTAGCAGAAATAAAGAAACTTCTCTGTAAACGTGGCTCCTGCCTCTGCAAACTGAACCCTCAACACAAGAACCACTGCCCTAGACATTCCTGGAGCCAAGGCACAGCACATCCTGTGTGTGCATAGGCATCTAGGGCAATGCTCTGCACAGGTTATGTTTTTGTCTTAAATTGTGTTCTAAGTTTTATTCTGTTCTGTTATGTTTAGTTAAGTTGGCCACTCAGACACTGTTTTCAGATGTCTTCTTTTGGATGGCGGTGTGCCATGATATGTAGCAGCACAGCTTGATAAGATCTACAGACATTGCTGGGGCTGTCTTCCTGCAGGGCAGGACTTCTGCTCCTCCTGGGGCTTCAGGGAGCTGACCCTGCAGGAAAAGGGCTATGGGTGACGCCCGGTTTGGGGTGCCCCTCTGCAAGTGGAGGTTTCTTCCATGTGGGGGGTGCAGGGAAATCCCTGCAGGGGATTCCTCCAGGATGTTTCTGAAAGTATAGAGGGGGGAACCCCCAAGAGGATTCCCCTTCCCTTACAGACTGGGCATGCCAGGGGAATCTTTCTGCAGGAAAAACTCTCAGAGGGGTCTTCCTGCTCCATGCTTGCACACTGTGCCTTGACCCAGGGTACAGCAGCATGATAGGTGCACTGGGGCTAGCACTTTTCTCTGGCACTGCTGCACCCAGGATCAGGGAGACGTATGCAAGCAGAGGGAGTTCCGCCCTCTGTGGTTGAATCCCGTGCAGAAAGATTCCCCCAGCAAACCTAGTCTGCAAACGCCCAGGGAGTTGGGAATTCCTTCCTCTGTGCTTATAGAGGCACCTTGGGCAAAGCCCCTGAAGGGGATTCTCCCCTGCCCCAACACAGGGGGCCTTTCCCTGCAGAATCACCCTCTCTCACCTTAAGCGAATAGGTGTTGGCCACAAAACAGCAGCACAAATTATTACTGGATTTGTTGATGCCACAAAATGTAAGCACTTGTGACACAACAAAGTGTGATGTCTGTTCACTCGCTTTTGCACCTCCATGAAAACTGTTATGGCAGCACAAAGTCAATGTCTGTTCGCAGTCAGAGGGAGACCAGGGTTTGGGCACAGCAACAGGCCTTTGAGTTGGTGCTGCTGCTACTCTCTGATTGGTTATTTACTATGCCATGTTTCATTTTATTCGGTGAATAACAGACCTTAAGTTAAATGCTATTTTTGTTTGTATCCTATAACTAGGAACCTACCAAAATTATGATTTTGAAAATTTCACAGAAAACGCAAAATCTAGCATTATCACAAAACCTACAAGAAAAAAAAGAAAAGAAAACATACTAAAAATAAAATGCTAGCTCCCCTTTGCTGCGGCATTGCCGCGCAGCCCATGGGAGGGGAGGGGAGGGGAGGGGAGACGGTGGGGGGGTCGGCTGTCTGCACAAAGGAATTCTCCATCCAGTGCAAGGTGGCAAAGGCATGCAGTAAGGCAGCAGCCCTAGATTTTAGGAGGGCAAACTTCAACAAGCTAAGGAGGATAGTTGGAGAAGTGCTGAGGTCCCAGAGGGGAGGGGAGCCAGGTGTCCAAGTACAGTGGTCGCTCCTTAAGGAGACAATCCTCCAAGCCCAAAGGAAGGTAATCCCAA